TTTCACGCATGATTCGGGTCGGAATCGATAGCAGGCGAATGCACACGACCCTTGTGCTGCAGAACGCCAAGAGCGTCCTTCCAGTGCGCGCGTGCCGTCATGGCACGGCTGGCATGGCCAAATGAATGCAACTTGAGAGTATTTGACAGACCCGTGTGGAACTCGTTTGCACCCGAGCATACCACGAGTGTGTCATTCTCCCGAACCCACTCGCGTGCACGCAATGCGCGCTCACACTCCAAGAGAGCGCCATCTGTGTCGGAGAACTTGCCCAAAATGAGCGGATGAACGCCCCAAAGCAGGTTGAGCTGATTGGCCACCTGCCATGACTGGGTCATGGCGATAATCAGTTGCGTCGGCTTGCGCTTGGAAACGCGGACGGCCATCTTGCCCGACACTGTCAGCACGATGATTGCGACTGCCTCCGCCTAACGAGTGAGTGAGTGTGTGTGTGTGTGTGTGTGTGTGTGTGTGTGTGTGTGTGAGTGTGTGTGTGAGCATTGTGTGGAATGACAGAGCAAATGTGAGGTGAGAAAAGAAGGAAAGAAACAGCAACCAAAGCAATCTAGCAAACAAACAAAGCACATACAAACAGAAAGAAATACCACATCACGTACCTTACGAGCGGAAGCAACTGATGCATCGGCAATCGCATCGTCAAACGAAAAGCCACCTTCCGAGGTGTCGACCTCGGCAACCATGCGCGCAAGAATGGTGTGTTGCGTTTCGGCGTGCAGACAAATCGAAGCCATCTGTGGTGAGTGGTTGGAAAACAAGCCGTTAGGATGTCGCTCATCATGGAGAAGACTCGCAAACAAGACAACCCCCATTGGACTTTATTGCGTTGTGCGAATCCTCCTGCTTTACCATGCGAACCGTTTCCAGAGGATACTTGCCGGCAGCCGTCTCGCCGCTGAGCATCACTGCATCGGTACCGTCAAAGACAGCATTGGCAACATCGCTGACCTCGGCGCGCGTGGGCACGGGCGAGTTCATCATGGTCTCGAGCATCTGGGTCGCCGTGATGACTGCACGGCCAGCCGCGTTCGCCTTTGCAATGAGCATCTTTTGGGCGGTGGGCACGCGCTCAAAGGAGGCTTCGACGCCGAGATCACCACGCGCAACCATAATGTTGACGGAGGGGTGGGCGGCAATAATCTCGTCAATGTCGTCCAGCGCGTGCGGTTTTTCAATCTTGGCAATAATCTCGGGATGGACCCTGTCGCGCTCCTCCTTGCTACGGTTGAAGTCGTCAATGAAGCTCGTGAGCTCGAGAATGTCCGCAGCGCGCTGCACAAACGACAGGGCGACAAAGTCGAGCTTTTGTTCGAGAATGAACTGGGCATCGCGGCGGTCCTTTTCAGTGAAGGCCGAGAGCGCCAGGCGCAGTTCGGGGACGTTGATGCCCTTCTTTTCCTTGAGCAGGCCGCCCACTTCGATGAGACACTCGATTTCGTCCTCACCGATGCGCTCAGTCATGCGGAGGCGGAAGTTGCCGTCGTCGAGGAGGAGCGTGTTTCCGACCTCGAGCTGGCGCACGACAGCGGCGGTCGTGGTCGTCAAGCAGGTCACGCTGCCAGGCTCGTCACCCGAGCGCACGCGAATATGCTTGCCCTGCACGAGTTGGATTGGCTGGCGGTCGACAAACACGCCAACGCGCACCTTTGGGCCGCACAAGTCGCCTGAAGCAGGGTGTGCGTGTCTGGGTGAGTGTATGGCATTCAGATGTATGCACTACAACCAGTCTGTTTGCTGCTGTTGTACAGTAGATGTATTTTCAAGTTGCACTCGCAATGGTTGCCTTTTTTTACCTAGAATGCCAACGGGCATGTTCAGCTCCAAGCTGATATCGCGAATCCGCTTGATGATTGGGATTTGGTCCTCGTGCAAAGCGTGCGAAAAGTTGATGCGGAAGACGTTGACGCCTAAAGTTGAAT